CGGACATCACAATCTGTTGAGTCTCTCAACGTGCGGATTAATACGAGATTAGACATTTGAAAAAAATGTCAGTGATGACACTTTGATAAACCAGACACACGTTTATCGACGTGCTATGGGGAGAGAGCAGTGAGCTGAAAAAGGAAAACAAACGTTAAAAAAATGCGTCCCGTTGAAGCATTGTTAATAACGATCACGGTGATGCTTATTCTTCTTATTCAGTTAAATCACGAGCACTTTTTTGTCTTTCGTATGATCTATGAAAGATGGGTTAACGCCTGTTTAACTGTTTTGACTGCCGCTATGATGAGAGCGAGAAATCGACGTCAGCGAAGATTACTTCGAGCGCCATATGCCTGGTCAGTTCCGCGACCAGTCGAGTCGTTTGCTGTTTACTGACAAGCGATGACAGTTACCGCTGTGATAGCTATTGTTTAGCCCGAGTTTTCCGAAATCTGCCTGCCCCACCCAAGCACTACGGCGTCTTTGATGTTTTGGCCGGTTTTCAAAGTTTTTGCGAACCGAAAAAGTTAGGGTCGCATTGGGCAATGTGCCCCGATGACAGATTTTTACACCAAAGTGACCACATTCGCACCAAACTTTGCCAAGTGCGACCCATGCCTTTTAAGAGTAAATTTTAAAAGCTTCTTTTCCAGATCCGGACAGCTACTTAGAGATATTTGCAAATATCGATTAGCTATAAAAATAAACACTTTTAATGTTGATTGAAAAAGACGCTTTCTTAAAAATCAAAAAAGGCAGGCTCAAGAATAGATTGTAAAGCTTTCGTTGCAGCATTTGGTTTTGAAAACCTTTTAACTACTAGGACATTGTGACATTGGGCCTCGGGCGCAAGTGAATGAATGACCCTGACTGGGATTAATTATCTGTTATGACTGAAACCAAAAGCAAGAAATAAAAATGTTACCGAAATCAACTGTTGACGTTAAAGCAGTGCAAGGTAGGTTAACCTATCGTTACACCCTGCGACATCGACGGTGTCCTACTGGATCTGGCGCAGAAGCCCAGAACTACTCCCCGAACATTTTGTGACTAAGATAATTTCATACATAAGTTATGCCCTAATCCTCTCTTTTGAGTAATCAAACAAAAGTAAATACACTGGAGACAAAGTAAAATGTCTTATTCGAAGTTTCAGTGATCGCAGTGAAGCCAGCGAACAAAGTGTCACAGGTCCTCGAGAAAAAAATATCGGATTTATCTTACTGACGTACGTTATGATGAAATTCAAAAGCCGGTCAAGTAGGTTTCATGCTCACCCGCAAAACAGGAAATAAGAAAGTTGTCAGCATTTGTTCTAAGTCAAATCTTACGTATCACGAACTGATTGTATATCGGTTTTGACATCATTTCTCGGACTCAAAAGCAAAAAGGAAACGACGAATTCATGTATGTTTTCTCGATAATAGACTTATTTAGGTGCTATTTAATTAAAGAGCAAATAAGTACATGCTGGAGATTGTCATCTCACGACCGTCCTGCTATATTTATAAATTTGATGGTATGATACAGCAATTATACCAGGCAATCGTCAGCTTCTTACCCCAATTGTCCTGAAAGGTATCTCTGCTCTTCCAAAACAGACTCTCAAGTTGAAAGTGTTATTATGTGTACTATAACTGTCACGGTTTGCTCATCTAGCATGTAATGTAGCTCAAACTTTGCAAAGTCGCCATCGTCCAAGTTGATCCTTTCTTTTTTACTCAATCCTTCACCATCTATCTTCCATATTGGTTCCATGCTTCCATTTTGTCTTTTTTCAATTTCACCGGACAAAAATTTTGTAGCCTACGTCAAGTTGACAGGCGACTTCCGCAGCAGCAAAATAGCTCAAGATGCCGTGACGTGATTGCTTTTAGCAGCCACTTTTATTCACTTCAAATGCATTGAATCTGTCGAGAACCTTCCTAAGTATTCGGAGAACTGACAAAGTGCTTTTAGATGGATGACAAATGTGTTGCTTGAAAGCAAACGTTCCCACCTGGTGACCTCATTTTATTCCTCCCAACTCAAATCGCTTTGCTCGTGATATTCATAGCAGCGATTTGAAAGTCCTAGGTAAAGACCGACCGGCAAAACAAAGAAGTGACGATGCATGGGTATCAACGACTTTAAGTCTGAGAGGCCCTTCTTATCAAATTCTTCACAAAAGGCTGGCAAGAGATATGTAAATCAAGAGATATGTAAATAAATCCTGTTTTGCAACGTAACCTACGCACTGTGGTTGAAAATCGATGCCGGAGCATTTTGCGAAAATAACATTCTACACACGCGTGAACCCGACAGATGCATTTCCCCAAATTTAATTCTGTGGCAATTTAAATATCTTCTCTGGCCTTCAGTTAAACCTATTACGGAAGTATGTCTCGTTAACATGACATAATTGCGGCATAACGCCATTATTCCAGATGATTGAGTTTCGTGTTGACCCCTGATCGCTATACACAAAATCATTTAAAATCTTTTTTTTTTTTTATGCGTTTGGAAGAAACGTAGAATGATGCGGGCTCTACCTTGTGAACACCTTGACTTCTGTCTTGTAAGAAAACTGTTACCAGAGAGCAATGACGTGTTGTTGTGTAGAAAACTATGAGAGGCTGATAAATGCTGACATGTTTACAAAATGTTTGATGAGATTTTGATATTTAAAACTGATGGAAAGCTTGCATGGGCTTGAGTTACACTTCGAAGGTAACTGCCTTCCCCTAGACCCCTAGAAGGGACTATTACATTTTGCAGACAAAAGCAAAAATGACGAAAGCTTAAATCATCAGCGACTAACGAAAGCATGAATCACTAGTCGTCCTTTCCTGACGTTTCTGTTCCTTTAAGGGATCAACGAGTGAAGTATTAAAGATAACTATTGCCGACCGGATTAAAAGTATCTGACTGGATTGACGGCGGAAAGAGAAGGCAGTTTATTGAGGGGCCTTAGGTGACTATGCGCTGTACATGAATCACTGGATTGTACCAATTGGCTTGAGTTTCCTCTTATCAATAAGCTTTAGACAAATGATCCGACAAGAGTCTGTTGAAGATCAAAAGTTAGTATCGTTTCCAGGTGACTTTTGTTATTTCTAAAATGAAATTATTCCGCCGTGTTGAAAAGAATTGATGACACAGTTCGGAAAGGGTTGACATCGTAACCTGCGGTCGATTAATCAATTAGTGAATTCTTCTGTCTATGAGCTTCGTAAGTTTTATGGACGGGCACTTGAGAGATGAAGAATCCAGGGTGGAAGGAATCACTTGTAGTGGCTAGTGAAATAGCCCTAACACTGTGAGATTGATACCGTCAACTAAGAGTGTGAAAAAGCCTCCCTCTCGTATATGTCACGTCCATCGTTCAAGTTACCTTTTTGTGTGTCAATAGCAGTCACACCAAAGGAGTTTTCGAAATAATGTGACGATGTATCAGAAGATAGAAATTAACCGAAACCTGGGAATAATTAGATAGCTCAGAGACATTCAACGAAAGAGCACCGAGAAAGATATAAGGTCGCCGGTGAATCTCTTAGTAGTCGTCGTTATCGTTATCCTGGAGTCCTATCCCCGCAAATGCGTGAAATAGTGTACATTTATTCCATTTAGTGACACAGTTTTTAAGTTAGTCATGAATTTCATGGCATCAGGTACAATTACAGAAGAATCACAGAACCCTCCAGAAAAAAATTTAATTTGTCAGTACTTGCGTTTTTGTTGTGCCAGAAAGCAGAAAGCTGCTGGGTACAACTGTCAAAAACGCAGGACTTTGGTTGAACCACTGACAGTAACATGGCTTGACACATTACTGTTAGGTTACAGATAAACAGTACATGTGCTTGTATCCAGAAAATTAACAACTCAGCGAGAAGCTTGTAATCCTCCTTTAGTTCTTTTAACGACGAACTAAGTTGCTTAGAGAGTAATTCCAAGGGAGGCAAAGGGCAAATGATTAAATCTTGTAAGCTGATGAGGGAATGCTTCCTAACCACTTCACATACCTGGCGAAACGCTTTAATAACCGCGGCTGAAGCAATTATATTATCCCCTCAAGAATGAGAACCAGTAGCTTGGTTACGGTCGGATATCCAATTCAAAAGTGAGTGACGTTTTGTAGCGATCAAGTACAAAACACGAATTTCTTATTACCGTTGTCGTATGTTTTGATTTTTGATTTGGCAAAAACCCGATACTCTTCTGTTCAAGTTTTTGTCGCATTATGTGGCGACACTTAAAAAAACACTTGTATTGTATGGTGGCCAGTAATGGTTACTAGCTTATAAGCTTCATTAGTATACTGAAACGCATACTTATTATGTGTATTTTAACTATGTTCGAATTAACAATTATTAGAGATTTATTTTTCGTCACCATCGAGAGAGACAATGCTTCGATATCTAGCATGTTCCGATAGCAAAGTAACCTACAATGAGCCTCGACAGATGAGAAGTTATCAATGCGTCACAATCAAACATTACCATACCATAGCCAACACCTGACTTATAACCGCAGCATTGCGAGACTCACCTCAGTAGCGCTCATTGGCAAAACTTCAGAAGACAGAGGATGTTGCTGTTGCTAAATCGAAAACGAATGCTTCATGCGACTGCTGCCGGGGCGCTCTTGATCTGATCGGAATGGAAGAGAATAAACCAGAACACAGGGGCTATACTCTTACATCGTGTTCATAAACAAACCAGAGGTGATATGATGATCCAGTTATTGATCTGCTTATCTTATCTTAAACACAGCTGAAGATGAAAGCACAGTAACCATAAACGAGCTCATCCGCGAATCTGTTCAAGGACATTTATTAATGACAGACAAGACCAGAAATGTGACCTGATGCGACCCTATAATTTTTCGTGTTAGTGCTCCTATATTACACAAAAAAGGGTTATATTTTCCATCCAGATGAAACCACTCGACCTGTCCAGTTAAAGGTGACTAATGAGTTACACATTTTTATCAAAATTTTTTCCCTTTGACTTCTGGTAGTTAGTTTCGTAAAAATAAACACGAGACCATAAACCGTTCAAGTGGCAGAATCCTTGCAAAAAAACAAGTCACAGACTTTTAGTTTGTGCGCCCCGTGAAAATCCAACAGACGTGAGTAATTATATCGTTATTCATTACTGTTCGGCTCAGTCTAGGTCATTTAATTCTCATTAGAGGATTCAATCCACGTGTTTGACTATCATTCACCTTGAATTTCCTTGATCGAACGATAAACTTCTTTCAAGCAGTGTTCTTCGTAGGATTAGCGCCAAGATTGTTCAAATCCGCTCTGCCGACAAACCTGTTGTGCATCAGTCACCTAGGCATTTTAGGCCCTCAGGATCTCTTGTCACTGAAGTGCTAAGAATGTCAAAAGTTGTGATTATGGGAGAAATTTAGAGATAGTAAGGCCAGGGCTACAACGCAGCATGGAAGTAATTAAACTCCTCTCTTAAAGCAATGATGAAGAGGTGAAAAAGAAAACAAAAACAAAAACAAAACTAGCCAATCTGTCTTCGCTTTGTGTGTGGAGGTGGTCGTAATTTTCCCTTTTCAATTTACTTTTTTTAGTTTTTCGAGACCGTACCCCCCCTTGCATAAGTGAGGGGGTGAGACGCGGAGGGGAGGGGGAGATGTGGTAACAGCAAACGACGTCAACCCTTCAACAGACGAAAGCATGTAACTGAGTATTTGAAAGGCAGAAAACGAAGACGAAGAAGTCCATCATGAAGAAAACTACCTGCCGAGTGTCTATTTGGTCAATCGATATAAGCTCCTCCATTCTTAAGACCATAACACAGTTTTGATACTGCACCAGCAACAGCTACAACAACAGAAGTAGCAGCAGCAATGGAAAGGTCGGTAGAAAGACAGAAGCTTAACAAAGAAGTATTTATTGAGGATGGAGTTGCATGGCAGGCTGAAAAGGCGGGTACTGATGCAGAGGAGTCAGCGTTTTGAATATGAAGGGGAGATGTTTTTCGTATACATAGTGTCGGGTGAGATTCACACTAAAAAAATGTCTGCCACTGTGCGTAAACCTTGGGAATGACACCGATTCCAACATAAATCCTCAGTGTTACAAACAGTAGGGACATTAGGGATCTTACGCAATCAGGACGGCAACGCCAAGGAAGACTTCGATTAAAAAATTAATTTCTACTCTTAGTAAGAATTTCAAAAATGGTTGCAGGAGCTTACTGTCTTATACGGCGCCACAGCTCAACTTCAGCATGACGTATAAAAGTAGCGTTGCGTTCCAAATGGAAAT